CTTGCACAACCTACACCTTGGGTCTTGTCTGGTGTGGTAGATCTGAGCTTCTATTGCTCTGGTGTTTGTTATGAGTGTTTTGTATGGTCTTGTTTTATCAATTTTGTTTATGTTATTTTCAAACAGCATTTTGGAAAAACTTGCTGTTTTTAAATGTGCTTTATAAATTAATTGGATTTGGATCTGTGTATAAATTGAGCTCAGTATAAATTCATGTCTAAGTGTATTCATGTGTTATAATGGCCAAATCAAAGTCCAGACTTGAGAGTCTGTGATAAGACTTGAAAATTGGTAATCACAGTTGTTTACCATACAATCTGACTGAGATAGAACAGAATCACAAAGAACAATTTGGTACAATTTGTACTCTTGATATGCAAAGTTGAGGTATACTCCCCATTTTCTTGCAGCTTGTAAGTATGATGACAGAAATGTATGTATGTATGTATGTATGTATGTATGTATGTATGTATGTATGTATTTATACATACATACATAAAAAGTTCAAGTGGTATAAATATTTTTTTCTAGGCACTAATTTAACCATAATTCAGATGACAAGTGATGGGGGGGAAAAAAAATCACTTAATATCAAACAATAACAATCATAGAAAATGCAAACAGTAAAAATTTATGTCAAACAACCCTTCAATCCTTGAAGATAAACGTGATAAAATGTGTTGCGTTCAAAACCATCAGATTTTTGATCGACAAACTCATGTCAACTTATTTCAACCTTTAGGACGTTCTATTTTTTTTCTTCGTCTGTTTGGGAATTGTGTTGGCGATGAAAATGAACAGGACATGTATGTTTAAGCGAGTTTAAACTAATCTAAACAGCAATATTTCCGTTTTCTTAACTTAACGTGCGTGGCTGCACAGTGGTCTGATCATCGAGTAAATTACACGTGCCGTGAAGGGGCTGGAAAAAAGTCAACGGTGACGCTCCCTCACTATTACACTAGGCTGGAGATAAAATAGACCGACTCACTCTCCTCCCACCCTTCAGTACAGTGAACCACTCAGGCGGAGGACAGGACGTAACCCTGCTCAAACCCACAGAGTGAGAGACACGCAGGACTCAGTCACGCTGAAAACAGGACGTTTTTTAACTTGGTCCAATAACCATTCAATCAGCTCGGTGTTTTCTCCTTTGCTTTCGTTGTAAAACTTCAGCTCAGTCAGCGTTTTACCGTTTTCCCCGCGCCTGTATCTCTGACTCAAACTGTGTCCCCGTTTGGGCTTGTCTTGTCGGAGAGCTCAACTTTTACCGAACGGAGAGAAAACAAATGAAAGTGCCCTCAGACAGACAGGTGAGTGTGGGCTAACGGAAGCTATCTCTTTCACAGGTTTATATTCTTAACAATATATCGCATGGACATCTGTGTGTAGCTCAGGGAAATTCCTCATAACCATGGTAACACAGACTAACATTCCTGTAACTTTACTACTGCAGTCAGTAAGAATGTCTAAGCAGGAGGTTTCAACCTCAAAGACCGCAGTCATATTTACACTGTTAACCCTGACCTAACAATAACAAGCTTCAAATGCAGGACTTGTAGTTCAGTGGTGCCGACATGGATAAACATCCATAATGGTGTATCCTCTGGAGGTGCTATTCCTTTAATCCTCAGACAGAGTAAGAGCAACGCATTGTTTTTAAGTTGATGCCATTTACAGTTCATGTATATCATGGAATGGTATTCCGCAAACAGCTTTTGCAGAGTTGAACACATTTAGTTTATGCGTTAGTACGTTACAGAATGTTCTTGGATCCAGGTATGTAATGGTTACCAGTTTCATCTGTGTCAAGATTTTAATAGGTTAGGATTGCAAAACCGTAACTATTTTCTTGACACAACTCGAGGGTTAAAACATTGTTTTTTCAGAGAAATTATCAGAGTTAGAGTAATGCAGCTTTGACCCTTTGCTGCACATTGCCTATTAGTTGGATGGAAAAAACCCGCCACAGTTTTATGTTTTTTTTTTCCCTTCCACAAAAACAGGAGTGTAAAAACTAAAGGAGCGCTTGTTATGGTAACTGTTTTAACACTGCAGTCGCCAAGAAGCACATTTGCAATTGAAATCTAGTCATATTAAGCAGGTAGTTTATTTTGTATTCTGTGTATTAAAATCACCTGTGGATGAATGTAGTAAATGTCAAAGTATCTGAGCACCGGTAGGGATAATTTCTGATTTTTTCTATTTTGAATTAATACAGATTTTTTTTTTCTTTAAATTGCTCTATAAAAACAGTGGAACCATTCATTTTCACCTAAGGTTATCACACCAGGAGAACCTCTTATAAGCCCATGACTCCTTCACTCCAACGTCTAAACCGTTAAAACTCCCATTTGTGAAGTAACACTCCACCCCATCTCTTCTCTAACTGCTACGCCCTCAGCAAAATTAGCAAAGGCTTGTTTGTTTTCATGCAGAACTTGAGCGGAATGGCAACTTTATCATACGTTGTAAATCATCCTGAAGGCCTGTAATTAATGACTTCTCTAGAGGTTCAAACGTGTTTAGTCGAGAGTTTTCTTTAGAGGGTGAGTTGGGATCAGATCAAAATTTATGACACAAGGTTCCTCTCTCTATTTTTTTATGTAATTTTCCACAATACCTGTTAATTAACCAAATGGGTTTCAGTGGAATATGAATATTATTATTTTATTGTTTTTTTAAGGTTTCCCCCCTCCCCCAGAACATATCTTATTGATTTAAGCTGAACGTGATTCTCTTAGAAGGGATTACATTTGAAGGGCAGGATGCATGATGATAATATTTCCAGGCCATGACATTTATCATGTATGCCATGTGGGAAAGTAAACATTTCACTGTGCATTTATGTTGAGTCTGTTACAGCTGAGCCACTTAGCAAATGATCTAGAGATGCAGAGTAAATGTGGAATTGCTTTGAAAGTGCTGTAAAAATTGAGGCAACCCTTTAAAGGGGAAAAAAAAATTGCTTTTAAAACACCTTGATTTCAATTTCTGAATTTCTAGAATTCCAAAATTGATGTTTATGTCCAGATTGTGGAACTACAACGGTCTCCATGATTTTTCATAAATACATGCAGGACCCTGCTTTGTTGGCTTAATATACCAGTGGAAATGCACCTGGCGGATCTGTCAAACGAGTGCAAAGTTCTCCAGAGGGCGAATGAGTCAGAATTATTATTACAGGCTACTCTGAAGCTGCCGGGTCAAGTCATCCTCTCTTTGTCAATCACTGGTCACCACAAACATGACTTTATGTTATTTGTACATACTTATTTCTAGTTTTACTTTTTGGATGAAAGTAGACAACAATTCATGTCTTAATGAACCTTGAAATCATGTTTATCTACTTGCTTAGATGCAAAACTGCACAACAATTTATCAATTGTGATTCTGCAATTGATGTTTGCTAGGTTTTTGGGCTCTGTTATGCTTCTGATGGTTGATAATTGGACACAAGCACAAATTACACTTTGAGAAAACAAAGTTCGCAATTCACCACATGAAGACATAACAAAAAAATAGGAGCTTTGTGATTAATTCTTAATATCTGATTTTGTAAAGTTTTGGCTGGCTGAATCCAACATATCTTAAAACATTAGTTAAAAAACAAAATGACTACAGAATTGGTATTTTAAACTGTCTTTTTAGCATCTGATACTGGCTACTGTTCAATATTGTTGATATTAAATATTTGCCAACCTATTTTTTTCCTAAACAATGTTGGGACCTACCTTAACTTTTTTATAGTCAAATCCAGGGTTTTCTCTGGCAGACAGAGGTTGTCAGGGAAAGCTCAAGCTGAACAAACCAACAACTTTCCTGCACTCTATTTGACCTGGTAAAGTTAGACTTCCTGTTTAAAGCAGCAGCCTGAATGCACAGCAAACACAGTCATGTATAAAATACAGCTTTCTTTTATTTAACTAACCTTTTGCCTTTCCCTTGATGTCATTTTTAGCAGCTCAATGATGCAGAAAGTAGCACACAAAGTCCTCCTCTCTCTAACCACTTCCACACTGAAGAGCGTTGTTAATGTGCCATGTAAACCGCCAAGCATACTACTAAAATTTCTGTGCTTTCTCTTGGCTTTATTGAAGAAACACAACTTTTGGTTTGCATGTGAGGCTTTCAGCTTTGCTCATAGGAGTTTCATCCAGTACATAATAACTACCAGCTGCTTTAATGGTTTATTTTAGTAATGATTTGTCATTTTATAAGAATCAAATTGGCCAAATCAGGATCAGAATCAAAATCAGTTCAAATCTAGAGTACTAGAACATTTGGAAAAATCATTCAGTTAAGCTATGTACATAATTTGAACATTTATTTATCAAATTGATTTCATAACTTGGAAAATTTATGTGTTTCTCAGTATTTAAATAAATGGGTAAAGAGTAGTTGTGTGAAATGGCAGAGCACTGCTGGCCTGGCCATTTGGTGGATGTGTCAAAACAGCAAGACCTCAAATGGCGATTTAAATACCTAACTATATGCTATACAAAAAACAAAGATTCCCTTGCATTTGGAATGATGACTAGTTGTTCCAGCTCTGGATTGTCATGAAGTCAGTAGACATTTAGCAGCACGTCTGCATCTCTCCACCCCAGAGAAGGTCACAGTTCTGCAGCTCCAGTTTGATGCATCCACTTCCATCTTCAACCTATTATTTCCAAAGGCAGATCCTGTTGCAAACTTGATTGCTGACGACTTGTTAAATGGGAACCTGTGTTCAGAGACTTGATAATACTGCTGTTTCTCTACCTTAGCCTGTTTGCACTGGTTAACATTCCTCAGCTAAATGGTGGTAATTTTACTCTCATAAGAACACTGGAGGCTTTGCTTTGGCAGCTTTGTTAGTTTGCAACTTGAACTCATTTCAAAGGAACACACTCAATAAAACTGGGGGGAGTTGTTATTTTGTCAGTGATCAAGTTACCTTTGAAAGAAATCTCATCATTTTTGTTTTCTGTGTCATAAAACTACTTGGTTTCTGTTGATTCCCCTTTTTTGCCTCCCTGATACTCTACGGATCATAATGGCACCAACCTAGAATGATTCTGTTTAAAATGGCCAAATTTGAACTAAGGGGAAAGCTTATTGCGAGCTCAGATGGCAGCGTTGGTTACGGTGGCACCCACTTGGCTGTCCTTGCTTTCCAAGCCGCAGCGGAGGACAGAGATGAGTGTGATGTCAACACACAGATGGTGGTGCAGGGCCCTCATGTAGATGTACAGATGGCACCTTTTTCAGAATATCTTTGTCCAAACAGTTTTTCATTCCTTCTGACCTGAGGGAGAACAAAACAGAGGGCACTGAAGTGAGATGGTGAAGTGACCAGTTTGCCCACGACACAAAAATCCAAATTCTGGTTGGCTGCAATACAATCATGTGACAAACTGCCTTCTGTTAATGGTCTAATATCGGTGATTGGTAGCTGAATTTCTTTATTTCTGAAGTTTAGGCTACACTTTGAACAAGATGTAATGTCAAGACTCCATAGTAATACTCATGTTGCTTTTGTCTGAGCAATCTGCTAGCTAAACTGTCTAGCGAACATTCCTCTCCAGTATGGCTGATCGTTGTGATCATATGGGAAAACAGAAGGTCAACATTGCCAAATTAAAGAAAGCTGGGCCTCATTTTTATTATTTTTCCCAAGTGTGGTTATAAAAAGTTTAGTCCATGGTATAAAAAGTTTAGTGCATGAAATGAACACGGTTTGATCTATAAGCATACCAACAAGTACCATTTTTTTTTTTTTTTGCATTGTTTTGAGTTGATCAAAATTCAGGTAATGGCTAGGAGGACAATCTTGTAATCCTTATTAAATTCTAAACTACTTCCTTTTAGCACATTTTTTCATTTGGTTAGAATTGATAATATTTAACTTTTGAATTTGAAAAAGAAAAAAAAGATGCAAGTTTGTATTTGTTACAGTACTTTGACAGAGAAAAGTGGAGTTGTCCTCAAAGATACTTGAAGTTGAGACCAGATTTGAACCATTTAAACTGCTACAACTTTTTGCTTATGACTCATTAAAGATCTTGTTTGTTTTCAGGCCAAAGGAATGGTTAGCACAGCCTCTTATCTCTTTCTGTTTAACTTTGCACACTCCTAAAGGTCACTGAAGCGAGTTGAGCAGATGTTCTTGGGTGTACCATAGAGCAGATTACAGACCAGAGGAGACCAAGCTCTAAATCTTTGGGAACCTCACGATCAGTCCTGGAAAATTTCATTCTATTTTCCCAAAAGATTCAGACATCCATGATCACATTCTTGATCCAAGTTGGCTAGAGGGAATTCAAATGGAAAACAGTGTATTTCACTCTTTGGGTTATTAGCCCAATCCAACCATCATTAGCTTCCATAACATTGGCATGGCAGATGAAATGTTTACTCTGTCATTTCACAGTTGACCTTTCTGAGTAATGTGATTGCTTGCTTATCTTATGTGTGACATCAGAAATATATCCACTGTCTGTTTTTCTCCTGTGCTGCTTCCTATTGGATGATGGATTAGCTGTTGCCACATTCGTGGGAAATTTGGTTCTTGCTTCATATGAAATGGCAGAAAATGTCCCAAAGCCCAATGTGTAGGTTTTTTTTGTTTTTTGTCCTCTGTTCAACAAAGGAGAGCAACGTTTTAACACTCAACACAAGAAATTGACACACTCATGGTTTTGCCCACATTAAAATCTGTTTATGGGCTCTTCTCTCCCCTTTTTGTCTCCATCCTTATGTTCCAATAATGGAAATAAATTACAGTAATGCTGTTTCCTCTTTCCTCTGTCAGTGTAGTAATCAAAAGACATTGATGGATTGTGGCTAAATTAATCTTTCTCGGATTATGGCTGACCCACATATTTTCAGATTGATTAGCAGTCAGTTTAAAAAGCAAAGTGTCAGATTGTTTAATGTCCTCTCAGCTCTACAAAAAGGGGCTTTTTTCTCCATCTTAAAGCAACCAGCTCCTTTAGGATTCCTGCTATGACTTTTCAAGCAGGTCTGACTAAAAAAAATCAATTGGACAGCTGCTGCTGATCCAGAACACTGCTGCTCATGTTCTCACTAAAACCAGGAAGATATAGAGCACATCACCCCAGGTATAAGGTCCTTACACTGGCTCCCTGTAGTCCAGAGAATAGACTTTAAAATACTGTTGAATGGCTTAGTACCACAATACATTAAAGATCTGCTGTTGTTGCTTTCCAGACTACTCAGGTCTTCTGGTTCTGGTCTGCTCTGCAACCTCAGAACCAGAACCAAATGAGGAAAAGTAGCATTCAGTTTCTATGCTGATCCAAAAATCTGGAAAAAAAACAAAAAACAAAAAAAAAAACTTCCAGAAAACTGCAAAACAGCTGAAACCCTCAGTTCCTTTAAATCACATTGACCAATATATGTGATGTGTATTGATGATTTTGATGATGGCACTCGACAATATGTAATGCTTGTTACTGGTTTCTTAATTGGTGACTGTATGTTGTTTATATGACTTTATTTATGTCTTTATGGTGTAAAACACTTCAAACTGCCTTGTTGCTGAGATGCGCTATATTAATTAATTGATCTTTACACTAAGGAAAACATCCGGCACGGCACAGAAACGGGTGAAGGGTTAACCCCATGTTGCTCATCACCATACCCCATTTAAACAGCAGGTTTTTATAACCATAATATCAGAATCTAACCTGTTCCTGGTATAAAGCCATAATTTTAATTTAGCTTGTACTTTTCTAGCAATGGTTTTGTTTTCTTAAGGAGAACCTTTATCTAACAGTGTAGTGAGTTGACCTTTTTTTTTTCTGAAGGGTCTCTGGTGCTCACCTTTCCCATTGCTCTTGGGTCAGAATAAGTTTTCGAATGAGAAACTGCTGAAGCATTTCCGTCTCTACAGACAGATATTCTCTCTTTGCTTGTGATTGGAGGAAATGAGGCAGCAGAAAAAAAGATGACAAAAGCTGTTTTAAGGGGCTTTCGTGCACCCTCTTATCTCCTGTTTTTCACCAAACTTCAAACACCTTCTGACTGAGGTGATAGGCGGGTTGCTGTCCTTGCCTTGCAAAGCCTTAATCAGTTGTTGACTTCTCCTGTTTTAATCTCACTGAGACACGAAAGGAGTTGATGGACAAGACGAAACAAGATCACAATAGTCAGGCTAACCCTCAATAACTTTTTGCTAAATTAAAGCTTGTCTGAAAAGTGGCTGAACATGAGACATGTTTTCTGATGATGAGGCTGAATGAGTAATCCAAGTTTTAGCTTTTGTGTCTCAGTTCTCGTCTTCAGTCTCACACACCCACACTGCTGCTGATGGTCATATTTCTCTACCTACTCTGGTCACTACAGAGGTGCATCAGTCTTCTTCGGGGGGGAAAATGACTGTGTAGATAAACCTAGGCTTAGACTTGAGAAATTTTATTCAACTTTATCCACTGGGTTATGCCTCTCTGATTAGCACTTGCTAAGACATCATGCCGATTAAGGGATTAATTCAGTGATTCGGCTTGGGTCTTTAAGTATTTTCTTGTGGGACAGAGCTGATTAAAAAAGCACAATTTGTTTTACCCTTCAACTTCAGGGTAGTAAATCTGTAACCTCAGTGCTGCTCTGCTTAATTAGGATCATATCTCACATTGACTGGGTGTGTTTCTAGGTTTCTTTGATGTCCCACTGAACAGGATTAAAGATGACATTTGTGACTTTTACAGACATGGAAAGAAACTTTTGAAAGAGTTGGGACATATTCTTGAATATGTTTGCTTTGTGGGTAAGAACTTACACCTGTGAGTCCAACGCCAGAGACGCACTGAAATATGTCCTTCTTGTGTTTTGCCAAATATTTAAAATGTTTTATTAATCGATTTATTCTGATTTATCTGCTGAAATTAACCATGTTAGCTCCTCGCTGCATGCACATAATCAAAGGGGCGTGGCTTCTCACTTGTAGCCTTTGCCATCAATGCCGTTAGAAAGTTGCTGTGTTTTCCAAGTGCTTACAAATTGTTTCCATCAGTCACTTTGCTTTCTTTTTTCCATCTGTACCCAAAATATCGTCACACAACATTTAAAAATGGGGAGGCTTCCTCACTGTGTTTGTAACTAGATGTTGGCATTTCCTGATGAGAAGTTTGTGAGCTGTCAGCACAGCTCCAGAACTACTTCCTTTACTTCAAAATAAGAGTTTCAAACATAGAACAACCTTAAAGCGGTTCATATCTACGTCTCACTTCACCAGATGGAGTCGCACATGGCAACTGCGTAGAGACATAAAATGGACAGCTCTGGATACACTCATACTAGTGCTTCTCATGGCTGTAGCATATTTAGATCTAAAGAGAAAAACGAAAACGACACTCCTCGGTTCTCTTCAAACCTCTAGGTCAGGCAGTGATTTAGGGACACATTGATTTGCTTGTGCTCAGGGTTCTGTTGGCAGAGCACTTGTTTTCAATTCCAATCGATCTTGTTCATTAATTCTGCAAACTCAGAGCCCCTCGGTGTTGCATGTTGGAAAACTAGCATTCAGTTCATTTTAACAGATGGACCATCATGGCTCAATTGGAGTTAAGAGCTTCGCGGTCTTTCCGGGGGGAGTCGGATTCATTATAGGCCTAGGGTCAGGCCACCTTCCCCTGAGCAGTTTTAGTAATAACAGGAAGCACGGCCACTGCTGCGCATGGTAATTAGCAGCTGTTTAGAACGTGAGACAGCCTGATTATAGCAGAAGCGGTGCACACACACACACACACACACATGCACCATTGCACTGAAAAATTACATGTCACAAAACTGCATGTATCCTATTGTAGAATAAGAATAAGCAAAGAGGGATTAGAAGTTCATGACTCAGGGAAACATTTGTACACATTTAATCATCATTGCATTTATCAGGCGCCATTTATGTTTAAATTGACAAATGTTTTGTTGCCCTGGCAGCTGCGAAGCAGGCTCCGTCACGTCTGTGAAAAGTGAGGTAAAGTTTTGATAACAGTCAGCGTTGCTGTAATTGTTGTTGTGGGTGATTATGGAGTGTTTGAGGTGAATCAGCAGCAGATCGGTGGGGGAACAGTAAGAACTCAGGTAATTCACAAACACACCCTGGTACTTCCTACCATATTCACTGACGGCATCTGATTTGAGCTCACCAGTGTACTGATGTTGTCCCTACCACAGTGCCTGTGTTATTATATACAGGTGGGATCTACTCTATACTGAAAAGAGCCACAAACAGTCAGAGTTTAATGAAGCTGCACGTTTTTTCTTTTTTTAATATTGCATATTTTATGAGTCGCCTTGTAACGACAACACCGAGAACAGAACACCTGTGATATAATGGTTGCTTTTACAGCAGAACCAAATTAATCATGTTGTATTCTGGGTTGTTGGTGTCATTTTTACCATGTGAGTCTCCAAAACTTGGTGTTACCATATCAGTATGGAGTTTAATAGATGCCACAGTTATCTTTGGTGGGGCTTTTTATGGTTGTGATATAAAAGGAATAAATGGAGCAGACATCCACTGTCTGGCTGAGCCACCAATTCGCTCTGCTACGTAATTGTAGTATTCACTGGATGATTGTTCCTCTGAACCTTTTCACTTTCATTTTTCTTTTTTCTGTTCTTGAACACATCGATGGAAGCTCGTTGCATTCTCGGTTGACATTGAGAACAGGTCCTCTGAACAAGTTCTTAATTTAATGCCGGCCTTTGTGGCAGAGACATGGTGCTTTTCGAACCAGCTCATGTTTTCCGTCAAACTGACAGGCATGTTGCTGTTGAGACGGCTTGTTGCACAACTTCTCCCACCCGCTTTATCATCGATGTCGTTTCTATTTTTTTCTGCAGGAGCGTTGGGAGCCAGTGGGATGTTAGCTGTGGCTGAGACAGCAGGAGCGACTGAAGGAGCATGGTGAAACACCAACCCCTCCAAGTCTATGAGCGCCAGCTGTGTTTGTCATGTATCACTGGGATCTATGGGTGCAGGTGGAAGCGCTATCAGAGGTCACATGACAACACCACCAAGGTGAGAGGCAGCTTGAGCTCCCCCCTTTCTTTCTTTTTCCCGAACAAGCTTCTCCTCATAAGAACGTTTAATTTTGGTTTGTAGATTTCTCACCTTTACTACAGAATCAGAACGACTGCTAGGTGATGAGACAAAGCTGTTGGCCTATTTTTAAATAACCTTCACACTATCTTCTCTCTTTTATGTTATTTAAGGGAAACTAAGTGGTTCAGCTGTTGTCAGCTCTAATGTAACACTAAACAGTGCATGAAAAATTATACCCAATTGACATGATTTACTGCTCTAACAATGCCTAATAGATCAAATATATTAAATGCTCTCCTAATATCACCTGGTTTAAAACTATTTTCACTTTGACAAAATATGCAGTTTTACAAACGGTTTCTTTGAAAAGTACCAACAGATTTGAATTTCAGCCTCAACAAGGTTGGACATCATTCTGGAGGAAATTATAATCTGAAGAGTGTGGCATGAGTTATGTATATTCAGCCGTTCGAAGTCAACCCTTTCGCTTCAGGGTTTGCAGATCTTAAACTGAATTTTTTTTCACTTTTCTTTGCAAAATCTGTCAATCACTCCGTTTAGGCGGAGAGTGAATAATAGCAGACATTTTTACACTTCGTCACAGGTTCTGAGTTGGATTTATACAACCTTTCTAAACCAATTAATAGGCTTTGATTGAAACAATAGCTGTGGAGTGTTTTCTCTGCTGGAAGGTTAAATTTCTGCCCCAATCTTTATTTTTTGCATCCTAGAACAGGTTTTTTTTTTTCCAGGAAAACCCTAAATTTAGTTCCATCCATCTTTCAATCGGCTTCGACCAGCTTCCTTGTCCCTGCTGAAGACGAGCATCGCCGCATCACGATGCTTTCAACACCACGATTCACAGAATCTGAAAAATGCTGTTCGCAGCATTTTGCTTCAAAAAGTTTAACTTTGATCTCTAGTGACCAGATCACCTTCTTCCATTTTGACTGTGTCCCCTACATGGTTGCTGTAACTGCACAGTGAACTTCTTCGTATTTATTTATTTATTTTTTTGTTTTTTTAATAAAGCATTTCTTTCTTCTGCTGCTGGACTCATTCATAATCTACAAGTGGATCATACACCTATCCATGAAGGCGGTAGTGCAAAACTAATAATTATCATGTCAGCAAATGGTCTCACCCGCATTCTTATGCATCACATAAAGAAGAAAATCGTGACTCCAGGCCAAAAATACTGTGTTTAGCTACCTTTATTTAGCGTCATTCAAACTATACAGTAACATAAATATTGATAGGAACAGTGAGTGTTTAGGAAGCATAGATTTAACTTCCCAAAGTAGCTAATAATGTAACATGATTGACCCGCGTCATGTGCATCACGTATTTGGTTCCTATCAGATATGTATTATTTTTTTCTTATGGCGCAGTTGTGCACTTTCTGTGAGAGGCACATTGATTGAATGATTAGTTCCATTATTGCTGCAATGACAAATGTCAGGAGAACAGTAGGAAAGAGGTGAAGCTGGCTCTGTTTTCCAATGATTATCTCTGAAGATAATTAGCTGTGTACACCCTCAGCTGTGTGCATGGGCTCACATCAGGCTAGTCATGAATGAGACCTGATTATGTTGTCAGGAGGCTTCGTCCACAGTAGTTGCATAGCTGGCCTGCAAGAGAGCTGTAGACTGATACAGCTGTTTGCATCTAATTACTGCTATTGAGTACCTTGTTTTATTTTGTTCTATGTATATTTCACAAAATTACTTAGGAAAATAAATCTCTAAAAGCTCCAAAGATTTGAAGTCGTGTTGATAGAAGGTGAAAATGGAAGATTTCATTATTAAATGGATTGCACACTTGGGATGGTGTGGATGTTGTGCCCATTTTTTTATTTCACTTTAAAATTTTCATAAAGCAATGTCTCTGCTCTACAAATTATATTGCTGAAGGACATGTTTCTTTAAATGTAAGAGCTGGAATGTCCAATTAAAGGGCAAGAGCAATTTCTAAAAGGATTTGCCTGAGAAATGTGCCTGACTCTTTAGTCCGCGGTGTTTCTCCAACAGTTTGTGTCCACGGTTTCTTTGTTTGCCACTCATTGTGTAGATCACGGCCAGTGGTCTCTAGCTCTTCCATTGCTATTTGGGGTTTTAATTTGGACTTCTGTCTAATCATTAGGTTATAAGTTTTGCAGCACACCTGCAGCAATGTGCACAGAATTTACAGCTGCATGATATTAGAAGATCTTTGGCTGGAGATTAATATGGGTAAATCTTGCAATGATGAAAAAATTTGCAAAATTTGCAAATTTTCTTTTGGTTCTCCCATCACTGTCTGACCGTTAGCATTTCGTCCAATGTTCATGTCAGCTGTGAGCATCTGCTGCCGTGGGACTCTGTCCAACTGGCTAAATATTACATGAATATGAAGGTCAACAATTATTGCTTTCCCAACATTCCTTTGGAGTAGGAATATTGGACACAATTTGTGATGTACTCTGCCGGCCTGTACTCCTTTCTGTTATTTAGAGAATGAAAACTAAACGGATAATTGACTTTCCTGCAGGTTATTTGCAGATTAGCTTCTCAGCTGACAGTCCAGTAGCCTGAACAAACCACATTCCACTCGTCCTCACTTTTGTCATTTGTTTTCTTCCATCTTCAAATGCTACCTTTGTTTTCATTTAAAATGAAGAAAAAAAAGACAACTCTTTGGACCACGAGGCAAAAAAAGCATGCATTTCTTGTAGCAAGAGGAGCTGCTGTGAATGTAGTTTGCTGTTTGAATTTGTTTCTGTAGTGTAAGTGGAGTTGGTTCAGGACTTTATGGTATTTGTAGCCTGCCAGTTTACCTTCTGCACAGACATCACACCTGTCTTTATCTATTATAAACAAAAGGTAACGGATAATGAAACTGATGGCAGATCCTTCTCAAGAATTTAAATAATTGAATCATTAAAGCCGAGATAAAAATGACATAGTGCTGTTACATGTCCGATTTATTCTCTGGATCACATTTGAAGGTTTGGATCTTTGTGGTTGTATTTTCTGATATTTGATGCTTGACAGGATCCAACATGCACTCAATGATCCATTTGTCCTGCCTTCTTCCTCTATTTAGGAAAGGACACAGGTTGTGTTGATGCAATAAACTCAATGAGTGCAGAGGTGTGTGCTCTCCAATGCACTCAGATGCTGAGTTAGATTATTTATTCATACCCACATGCTATCCTGTAGAACAACAAAAACCTTGGGTATAAATAATCATGTCAACTGGTGATTAAACTCCATCCATGAAGTTGTTGACTTAGAATACATCTAACTTGAGCAGAAACGACACAGGCAGGTTTGAATCCTTAGTTTTACCTGGCCTATATAACTCAGAATGTAAAAAAAAAATAAATAAATAAATAAATAAATCTGCTTCGGTTGTGGTGGAAATCTGACACCATGTAGATCTGTTTCCTATCCCAAGTGGTAATCTTTCAGGTCAACTGAAAAACGCTGTGTGAGCATTTTTGTGCTCATCCTCTGCTTTGACAGCTTGTGTCTTCTGGAGTGCAGGGAGCAAACAGTCAGCTAGCGCATGCAAAGTGCAGGCTGTTTCTTTCCACTAGCTTCAATACAATGTTTTTTCTTTGTCTTGTTTACATGCCCTGCAGTGAACTGACAGTGTTTCACGTAAAAATCATTAAAAGCGCACAAGAGAGACTTTAGTCTTGTTTTGATGCTTTCAGTAATCTTTAATATATATATATATATATATATATAAATTAACTGTTACCTGCTGATTCCAATATGGCTTCCATTAAAAACTGTTAATTGTGAAAATAATTTGCCTGGTTGAAGTGGCTCACTTGCTTCTGAGAATGGACCTTGGCTCAAACTGAAGTGACGTCATTCAGGACAGATTGGTTAAACAACCCGGTAAGCAAACTGTGGCCAATCAAGGGGAGGCATCATGTACATGTAACTCTACCCGATCCAATCCAATCCCAGAGGCGTGAGAACCAAGAACCTCATGTTGAAACTGCTGCTGGACTCATTCATAATCTATAAGTGGATCATACAATGTCTTTTTTTCTCTCTCTCTGTCCACTGTAGTGAGACATTCAGACCGAGCAGGTGTCGGTGGTGCTGCTTCTTTCTGTGTCCAGGGTGCTTTGTAGGAAGACTGCTCACGTCATGCAGTGCAAGCCGATCTGGCCTCTCAGTAATAATTGAGAGAATTTCCATTTAGGCACACAAAGGCTTCAAAAATAGGAGCAAAGTTTCCCAGCCTTCAGTGGACATTGAGCTGGTCTTCATTCACTCCGTTTATTGATGTCCAGTCAGCTTTTAATCATTTTGTTGCTGTTGTGAAAGTCACACAATGCAACTTTTGCGTCATTTGTAGCGTCGTTGTAAAGAGGCTTTACAACGACGTTGAGATATTTAACGAAAAATTTCAATAAAATGCTTTTTTGTCACTTGGACATGAAGCTACTCTACAAAAGAGATTTTGATTCAATAACTTCAACTGAAACATAGGAGAAGACCTACACTTTTTGTGGAGAAAATTATCGTAAAAAAGAAAATGTAGCTTTCCTCTTAGCATGGAAAGCTATTGTAGCCCTTTTCAGCCAGCTGATGTACAGTAGGCAGCAGCAGATGAGGAAGCCTCTACAGCTCTCTGTCTGGCATTTTAATAAAATAAATTGACATTGTCAGATGATGTGACAAAATGTTTTAGCAGGTGTTGAAACTGTAGCTTTTTAATACCATAAAATATCCACTTTTATCACCTTTACCACTTCAGTTAGTAACCCATTTTAACTATTTTCCCTTTCAGGCTTGTGTTGCCTGCAGCAGATCATGTCGGCTCAGGTTGCTGTAACTTTATCTGAACGTCATTGAGGGCCTGAATATTCTCAGTATTACATGTGTTGAGCAGTAATTAAACGACAGCTTCACCCTCTGAGCATAAGGAATGTCCTGCGATTGCAGGACCTACATATTGAGTTAAGCTTAAAAAAAATGTTATTGCACGAATATTCGCCAACAACTGTAAATAATGGAAGATGGGTTCACTGTACTGCGGTTGTTTCCAGATTTATTATTGCTAATGAGAGCTAGAAAACTGAGTTGGTCAGCCTTTTTAGCTGCTGACTCTGGCATCTTGTCTGGAATGCGGCCTAGATTCCTGCTACCACATGCTATGCCCAATTCAATTACCTTTTCTTATATGTGGTGTCATGGGAAATATATTTAATATATTTTTTTAGAAAGTGAACTTGGGTATTAAATTGTTGGATTCTTTTTTTTTTTTTTTTTTTTTTTTTTTTTTTTTTTTTAAAGGAAAAAGGGAGGGGGTTTAATTTTTGGGGTTTTGGCGCTAACCCCCCCCCGGGA